CGAAACATTGTCCTGTTCATAAAAGAACCCTGGAAAATTCCTGGAATAGCAGAATGTACAATAGGCGAGGAATTAGAATGAAGAAAAGTTAATAAGCGAAAGCGAAAGATCTTCATAAATACAAATTCAAAGAAGACTCCTTTTGCTGTTGAAGTGTCGGGAATATAACTAAACGGAGATAAAGGAAAAAGTTCAGTAGCCTCACGGAAAAATTTATAGTTGCTATGAGCTCGCAATATAAATTCACAACAACCAATCTTGAATTCTTCGCCCAAAACTTCAGAGTAAAACCCAAAAGTTGCAACCAAATCCATCAAATAAGTTGTCGTTCCACATAGAGTAATTGCAAAGTTGATTGGAAAAACTGTCCCGAGCTGATAATTGAAAAGAACAAATTGATATCGAAGAAGGGTTGCAGAATCTAATATCTCCGGAACAATAAACGTTGTTGTCTTTCGTACTACAGAGTGAAAAATATCATCTAACACACTTTCCATATTGTCATCGTTGATAACAGGTTGCGACAAGTCTGCAGCTTTCTCTGCTAGGGCTACTAAAGTATTCTTTAAAATCAACGGAATACCTCCTGTCTTCTTTTTTAATAATTCTGCGAATCGATGTTGCAAGCCATCTGAGGGCAATAACCAGTCCTTCAAGGTCTTTCCACTATAAATTGCCAGCTCAAGATATTCATTAATATCGTTGAGGTTAAAAGGATTCAATCGCAACATATCGAGGCTCATGCTACTGGAGCGAGCATCAGACATACGGGCTGAGATTTGAGATGTCCTGCCTGCCAAATAGACGATTACCTTCCCTGTCATCAACAAATCACGCAAAAAGCGGAAAAACTTCCGGAAAGGTACATATTCTGCATCGGGCTCGATAAATTGTTTCATGGTAAGTTCACTATAGTATTTGGTGAGGTAACTCAGGTGGCTAAGTTCGTCTATCATCAAAAATAAATATTGTTTCTGAAACTGTTCGAGAAGATACTGGACAAATAAAGAAACACTAGGTTGCTTCATCGCTGCGTCCGTGAATTCTACAATTTCACGGGCGGTCATACCATTACACTGGGCTGTAGCCATAGCTATGTTATACATCAAAGCCTTTCGAAACCTTGGAAAAGGAGCACGAGAAAAACTCTCTCCTAGTTCAAAGCAAACCAACAAAATGTTTTCCGCAAAGTGCTTCCAAGAAAAAATCTTCGCATCAATTTTTCCCGACGAGCTCTTGTTGAAAACCTCCGTCTCCTTCTGCTCTTTTTCTTCTTCGGCGAATTTTTTTAAAAACTCTAAAAAATTTTGACCTACAAAGCTTTTGCCAGCTCCAAAAATATGTGGAGAAAAGGAAGCTGAAGGGCGTATGTTAAAGTTTTTCCCAACTGGAGAAAACTGGTGGAAATAAGTTTGAAGAATAGAGCAAATATCTTCTTTTCTATCTATTAATGGTACTTTTGTCATTCCAGGCAAACTTATGCGTATCTCTTGACTAGCCATTTTCCACGCCGCCAATCCAAAAATCAATGAATGAGTGATGATGAGAAAAGGTTGATGAAAGCGATGACCTAAAAGCTTTCAAAGGAGCCGAGAACAAAACACTTGGAGGAGGACAAAGGAGTTGGAAAGAGTGTATGTTTTATTGTTGGAGCTGTTGCTTTATTTGGTGATTGGTAAAACTGATCTCTTTGACACTTCTAGACTCACAATGACAACAGAGAGAAAGCAGGAATATTTTCTTGCTTGTCATAACTAGAAACTTTCTTTTACAATAGACAAGAAATAGTTTTCTATGAGTTTTTGTGGTAAATTAGATTGATGGGTACTCTTTCTATGGCTTGTATACTGTAAGAGAGTTTTTCTACTATCTTCCACACCATCTTACACGCAAACTCCTATATACAAGTCTAATAAGATGCAAACCTTTTGTAAGTTACAGACGAAATACAGTGGGAAACAGAGAATTGCAATGAATGGGAAGTCTGTTTATGTGCAACCGTTCGTAGCAGAGTTTATAAATACAAAAATATCTAATTGAATTTGGAGAAGAGTATGATGAAGATTGTCATACTGACTTATCATTAAATACAAGCCATTATGGATGTAATAGCTACACAAGTTGTCTATCCTTTGTTCGACTTTTAAAAAGTTGTGAATATGTCTTATATAAGGACATCAATTAAGGCTTCAAATATAGTAACTATAACCGTTCATTTTCTGCACATCGATGCTGAAAAAAGAGCAAAAGATTGAGCCAAAAAAATAATTTTGCTAAAGAAGAAGCCTTGTATACTTGAGTCAAGGTCGAGTAGTGTACCAACTTGAAAGCTTCAGCAATTCTCCAACTGAAAGCCACTCCATATTGAAGAACCTTTACCCAACATGACTCTTGGCTGAAAGACGTTGTAGTTCCTAAGTTATCGGTCAAGTGATTGTTGTGGAATGACAATACTTCAAGATTGGATATGGTTTCCTTTGACTAATTAGAAACAATTCTGTTCCACTCTCAAAGTTGTCCTTTGCAATGCAATATAAATAGAACTCCTCTGTAAATAGTGACTTTCTGAAATAGAAACTTTTTTTCTCTGTTTGTCACATGGATAGATTCATTTAAGATGCTCTTGTTCTATTAATAGTCAAACGAAATTTTTTATATCGAATATCATCTTTGCAACCGGGTTACTTTCCCTATCTAAGAGTCGGTGAGTTTTCAGTCTAATTCACTAAAACAGAGTTTGAATATATAGTCTCGTGAATACTTTTGAGATAGTTTGAATTGCAAACTAAAATACTTTTTTTAGTATTTGTTCTTATCTTTGTTATATTTTCTCTTGGATCCAACAAGTTTCATATTTGTAGGAGCCATTCATATGAATTCCAAGGCTAGAAATGCAGTTTGAAAAAAACTCATAAAAACGAAAGGAATCTAAACTTTTATCGAATTTCAAGAAGCTAAAACTCTTTTTAAGACCGCAGTGTAGGTTCTCAAGTTGGATGAAGCCTGAAGTTTTTGCTGCCACTTTTTTCGTTTGGTCTAAAACCGAGGAAAACTCTCTTCTATTCAGTTAACAAAAGACAGGAAGGACAGTCCAAGTGAAATCTACAAACAACTTTTTCTGTCTCAGTCTTTGAGAATTATATAAAAGGAGTTACTGTTCTTCTTTCAACAGACTAGAAAGACAACATAGCAGACACTTGAAGAATGTTTTGAGATATTCTTAGGTAACCACTTTACTTAGTATTTGGACAAGAAAGGATATTTTTCATTCTAGTTGTATCAACATGTATGTATATATAGTCTATTCATTTTGAATCATTGCTACAACTCTGCAAAGTGCAAAATTGACACCAAAAATAGCCTTCAAATAAAAGCT